AGTACAGCACATCCCGAAGGTGCTAGGTTAGCAGGTAAGGGTAGGTTAAATTGTCCTGATCCCATTACAGCCGAGCTGGAAAACTGGGTCAAGGAATGGTCTCTGCTTGATTTGGAAAGTTGTAGTATGGGACACACTCAGTGGTGGGATTCAGCAGGTTCGCACCAGTTCTACAGAACCGGTAGCTAATGTTTTATTGGTTCTGCAGAACCGTTTGTTGGCCTGCTGAATCCCACTACTGGACACACTCTCTGCTGAAATTGCCTTTTCCTGTTGTCTGACAGGCTAAGCAAGTAACCTAGAAGCAATGCTTTGGGATTTAGTTTGGTCTACATTCAAAGCAGACCAACATGATCTGCAACATCCACACTCACATGGGATGCCATCATTTGTGGACTTTGCACGTCTTCAGATGTTGCTATAGTGTAACTTTTGGCTCAACAGATTGTTTTTGTTTTGTTCAGTCATTTAGTCGTGTCCGACTCTTCGTGACCCCATGGCCCAGAGCACGCCAGGCCCTCCTATCCTCCACCGCCTCCCGGAGTTGTGTCAAATTCATGCTGGTTGCTTCGATGACGCTGTCCAACCATCTCATCCTCGGTCGTCCCCTTCTCCTCTTGCCGTCACACTTTCCTAACATCAAGCTCTTTTCCAAGGAGTCTTCTCTTCTCATGAGATGGCCAAAGTACTGGAGCCTCAGCTTCAGGATCTGTCCCTCCAATGAGCACTCGGGGTTGATTTCCTTTAGAATTGATAGGTTTGTTCTCTTTGCAGTCCAGGGAACTCTCAAGAGTCTCCTCCAGCACCACAATTCAAAGGCATCAATTCTTCGGCGGTCAGCTTTCTTTATGGTCCGGCTCTCACTTCCATACAACACTACAGGAAAAACCATAGCTTTGACTATTCGGACTTTTGTTGGCAAGGTGATGTCTCTGCTTTTTAAGATGCTGTCAAAGGTTGTCATCACTTTCCTCCCAAGAAGCAGGCGTCTTTTAATTTCGGGGCTCCATATGTAAAAAAAAAAAAAAAAAAACGTTTTAAGATTAAATATGTTTAGAAATGTGTACTTTGAGAGGAAATATATTCAACAACATATATTCAAATGTGATTTTTTTCCCCAAGCAAATCTTTTAGAAATCCAGTTGAATGGAGAAACAAAATGGCTGGGACGTATGAATGAACAAAATTGCAAAACTGCTAGTCTCTTATGGGAGATTTCCATGCAATCAGCTAATGTTGCACTAGTGGCTTTGCTATTTGACAAGGTATCTGTTGCAAGACTAGTTGTCTGATGGACTGTGCAAATGGTCACATATCAGGCATCTGATGCAATGTTAGTTGTATGTAAAGAAATGCCCAGCAGGAATCTGACCATGGGGTGGCAACAGACTGGACCTTTATCTATCTCTAATACAGTTCTGGCATACAAGAAGGTATATTTGGGTGCAATCAAATGACAACTAGGGATCGTGTCTGATTGCGCTGGAAAGGGTCACTTTGCTGGGAGAAATCTTTAAAGTGACCCATTCATGCACATAGGATTCATGCCAGAGGGGCTCCCCAAAAAAAGTAGCTTTTGCTAGACCAAAAAGATCCAGATTGGGGATGAAGCAGAGTAAGGCTGGATTGCAATCTCTTGTATGTCATGTAATCACTGGAGAAAGTTTGCACTGGACTGTGCCACAAGTATTCCAAAGTGTGAGCTGGACCTCTGTCTGATTGCGCTCTTAGTTAGACAACTGACAGCATACCTAATCTGGGTTATGGAATGGCTTATTAAAGCTAGAATTGAACAGTCCAATTTTTTTTTTTTTTTGCTTCAACATCCACGCTTATAGTTTCCCTGGCAGCTGCAAATCACATCATTCCTTGGGGTGTCACTGATCAGTTGTGTATGGAACACATCAGTCATCTTGTAGCATCATCACATTTAAATGGCCTGAGACCACAGAGAATATTTGCCATTAGAGTAGGCTGTAATGTGACCTGGTACAAAATAGTGGCTCTCTGTGTTCCTATTGCATTGAGATGTAAAAACAAAAATTAATAAATATATATTAACCTAACCCTAACCCATTCTTGCCCATTTAGACTGGTCTGAATTAATAAGACATCTTGATGAAAAATGTTCAAGCCCCCCAAGATTACAGACACAGACACAGAACACGATTCTATTTTTCCATCAGCATCTTCCTTATTTGTGCAGTCTGTTTCTGTGCAAATTTGTGGTTGATCTTCAGGATATAGCACATTTTTCATTTGCAAGTTTGATTCGTCGGACACAAAAGGCTGCCTAAATGATGTCACTGGAACACTAACAGCATTTCAGCTCCCATGATGGTTTATCTATAATGTTTAGTTTGGCCTGTGCTTGCATGCACATGTGTTCACATCTGAAATTTCAGACTTAATCACTAAAAGCCCTGGGTGCAAGTGGATGATTCTGAGAGTTTTGGTTTCCCCCAAAGCTCAAATTTAAGAACAACAATACCACAAATTCTTCCATCCCAAACGTAAGGTGAAAATTATGACAAATAATTATTAAAAAAGGGACTAAAAAAAAAACCCAGCCAGCCCTTGCTTTGTTCATACAATCAAGAAAGATTCTCTTTTTATAGAATTCTACACTTGTAGAGTTGGAAGAGGTCTGAAGAGTCATGTAATCCCCTCCTGAATCAGCTAAAGCAGTGGTCCCCAACCTTGGGCCTCCAGATGTTCTTGGACTTCAACTCCCAGAAATCCTGGCCAGCAGAGGTGGTGGTGAAGGCTTCTGGGAGCTGTAGTCCAAGAACATCTGGAGGCCCAAGGTTGAGGATCACTGAGCTAAAGCATTGGTTCTTAAGCTTGGGTTACTCAGGGGTTTTGGACTGCAACTCCCAGAAGCCTTCACCACCAACTGTGCTGGCTGGGGTTTCTGGGAGTTGCAGTTCAAAAACATCCGAGTAACAAAGGTTAAGAACCACTGAGCTAAAGCACCCCAGACATATACCCATATAAACTTTGCTTAAAAACCTCCAGTGAAGGAGAGCCTTCTGAGGTACTCCGTTCCTACACTGGAAAGCTCCTTATCCCAGGATCTTCTTCCTAACATTTAATCAAACACCCTTTTCTTGTAATTTGAATTCATTGGTTCAGGTTCTACCTTCTGGAGCCACAGAAAACAAGCTTGTTGTATGTTCCATGTGGAAGTCCTTTAAATGCTGGGAAATAGATAGCAGGTTTCTATACCCCATGAACTGAACTCTTATGAAACACCTACAAAATTGATTTAGACCTTCAGCTGCCTTGTTGACTCCTACTCCTTTAAGCCCAATCCTCACTCCACATCCATTCAGGGAATCTATATTGACTGAGTAAGTGAGGACAAAATCATCAACCCATCTGTAGACAAAGGTTTGTTTTTCATATTTGTTGCTCATGCTGCATATTGCAAAAGTGATAAATAAATGCTTTATACAAAAATCTAATCACACCTTAGGGGAGAAAAAAAGGGTGATGAAAGGTTTGTGTTTGCGAGACAGGTAGGGAAAATGTACTTCATAAATTTCCTCCTATTAAGTACGATTAAATAAGCTCTTAGCTTGTTAGTCACATCTGATGAGAATGTTTTGTCAGAAAATGTTGGATCTAATTTTCTGTTCTGTGCACAAACAAACAGAGATAAAGAAACAGTGGCATATTTAATGCACTTCTAGTTTAGCATGTTTTATGTCTGCAGCTTGAAGAACTAATTCTCTCTCTCTCTCTCTCTCTCTCTCTCTCTCTCTCTCTCTCTCTCTCTCTCTCTCTCTCTCTCTCTCTCTCTCTCTCTCTCTCTCTCTCTCTCTCTCTCTCTCTCTCTCTCTCTCTCTCTGTGTGTGTGTGTGTGTGTGTCCGTCCGTCCGTCCGTCCGTCCTTAACCAAAGGACCAGGAGGGTCTGCCCAGTATCTTGTGAGGGTGTCAATTTCTGGCAGGAGTGACTTGAAGGCCTATTCATTACACCCACAGAGCCACATATCTAAATGGATTGTGTTTACCAGCACAGCTATAAACTATGTTACGTTCTAGCTCATTATAGAGGGGTTATATTTGGTCTGCAGAAGAATATATTGTTCCATGGAAGGCTGTACACAATGACATAGAAATAAAGGAATACAGTATACCATTAATGAGAGTACAACCCACTACCAAAAGAACCCACTTGATCTATTCCAAAGACAGAACATATTACGATTTTAGGCTAAAACTCCCAGAGTCCTACAGCCAGCATGGCCAAATGAGATTCTGGGAGCTATAGCTAAGAAAAGTGTATTTTCACATCTCTGATTTGCTCCAGACTAGATCTGAAAAATGCTTGTGGCCTCTGGTTCTTCTCCCTAATCTCAGCAAGGATGAGTTCCAAATGTAATCAGCAGCAATGCAGTGCTTAGGGAAAAAAAGTTCTTCAGACTAAAATATCTATGCTGGCTGCAGAAATTCGGGGAGCTGAAGAGGGAAAAAACCACAATTTTTCCAACCTCTGACAAAGTATATCTGTACAGAGAACAACATCACCAGTTTGTTGTGTTTGCAGAACGATGTTCCAGGTAGGGATGAGTCAGCATGCCTTTTCTGTTTTATTTTTCAGAATGTAAGAACTTAGCAAAAAATGCACATTTCTCCATGATTGGAATAATAAGAAGATGAGATTTAAAAAAAAATCCTAATGTGGCGGAAACCAAAACTCATTAAATTGTTGATAAAGTTTGTATCTGTGAAGATTCTCAGTCTACCTATACTAATAGCCAGAAAATCATATTCTATATTCCCTGCTGCCCCTATCTGAGCTTGAAAAGTAGTTTCTTTCTTGGCCTGCAGTTCCCAGTGGCCATTCTGGCTGCAGAAGTCTGGGAGCTGTAGTCCAAAAGAAGTAATTTTTCAAAGCTTTTCCTTTTCCTTACATTCTCCCATTTCTTTATCTAAATTCTGGAATAGATGAAGCAATCCAAAATGTGGATTTTGTAGGTGTATATACACTTACCTTAGTGAAAACTGTGAACATGTGTTGGAAATTTAAATGTCTGCCGTGGATACAGCGTTCATCAAGGCAAACTGGAAGAAAAACAATATTAGCTATTTTGCCCTAAGTGCTATTATAGCCCTTCAGTTTGAAATTTCCAATCACCATGGCATTCTCAAGGGCCTCAGATATAACAGATTGTAAAAGATTATGCAAAGTGTGACTGGCTATGTTGCTTGCTGGGTGGCCTTTGGTTTCTTAAAGCTACAATAAATTCATTGCATGGGCTAATTTCAGAAACCATATTTAGAAGGGACAGAAAAGCCAATCTCCTGTCCCATGGAGGGACTTTGTATCTAAAATATAGTGGTAACTGGTGTGGCATCGGTTTCAAGGACGATGAAAATCTGCCCTAGATTTTACTCTGCACTTTTCAGGAATTAAATGTGTGCTGCATATATATCACTCCATAGCGCTTAAAGCACTCTCTGGGCTGTTTACAATTTGATTTTATAGGGTACACATTATGCTGGGTACTCAATTTACTGACCTCAAAAGGATGAAAGGCTGAGTCAACCTTGAATAGGCTACCTGGGATTGAATCCAGGCCATGAGCAGAGTTTTGAGTGCAGTACTGCAGTTTAACCACTGAGCCATGAGGCTCTTAACCAAACTCAGGTGCTGAACTAATTTTGGGCATAGAATTTGGCACCTCTGATAACTCCTGTAAAAGTGAAGACTAAAACCTGGAATGGGTTCACTGCACCCCGAAATTTCAGCAGCTACCACTGCTACAATATCTTTTTCTTAGATGTTCCTAGGATGAAAAAGAAGAATACTTCACAACACACTCACTCAATTATAGAAAGTTTAATTAACTTAAAGCAGCAGGGGTGAACAACTTATGCCCACACACATTGGACTGCAAATCCCATCCCATCTAGCAAGCATAGCTAAAGGTGAAGGAAAATGGTAGTTGTAATCCAAGAACATCTGGAGGGCCATACCTTGTCCACTCTGACTGAGAGTAACCAAAGAGTACAAAGTGGTCCTATAAGTTAATCAGGCAGCTATGCATATCAGTGGCCTATGGTTCAGATAGGAGGTCAAGTCACCTATCATTGCAAAATGAGATGCTCCCACGCATAGGACACAGGCTTCCTCTGGGAGTATATAGAGTGTTAGCATAAGAAACACGTGCTCAGATTGATCTCTTGCATTGTTTTCTCAAAGTTAGACAAGCCTCTTCTCTTTCCTCTGGTACACCTTTACCATCTCAACATCTCATGCAACTCCTTGCTAGGCAAAACTTTATGTGTGGAATTTGTGTTGATCGCAGAACTATTAAAGGTCCAAGAGTCCTGCCTAAAACTGACACCCTTGAAATGAATGTGGATTGTACAGTATGAGCAAACGATGAACAAACAGCTTAAGTAGAAAGATAATGAGAGTTGTGACCTTCCAGAGGTTGTTGAATGCATATCTCAGCATTCTTCACCAGTGGCTATAGATTTACAGACCAACAGCATCTGGAGACTATACTTTGCCCATCCCTTAATGAGACATATTTTGCATTTGAATGCATCTATATCAGAGGACATATGAGCGAGATCAAATTGGTTTTGCAGTGCTGATCACACTTTGGCTAGATGTGGTAAACAGGTTTCAATCACAGGAAGGACTGGGTGGGGACCATATTTCAGTGGCAGGGTACACAGGCTACATCAATTGCTGCAATTACAGTAACTTTGGTATTCTTTTCCCATTCCAATTACCATTCTGTTTCCTTATCTCTCTCGCTTTTTCTGTCCTTTCCTCCTCCCATTCCTTATTGGACTTACTTGCTTCCTTTTTTTCAAATTGTTCATCTCTTTCCTCCTCCTACCCCCAGCAGAGCTGGGAAATGTTCTATTTTCGGAACTCCCCCCCCCCCGAAATCTCCAGTCAGCATGTGCAGAATTTGGAGAATTGTAGTCCAGGAACATAATGTCTCTGTGCTCTACCCTCAATACTTAGGTTACTTCTTCCAGATGGAGGTTTTCCTCATATGTACCATCACAAAGACATTCTATAGCTATTCTGTTTTAACTTCCATAATAGACTTTATGTGTGGTGGTGGTGAGGAGACCCAAAGAGTCAGTGGGAAAAAATGCAGGAACTTTACAAAGGGAAGATACCATCTGGAATTTGAACGCCTGCTGTTTAAAACACAGGGCACTCAGCCAGCTCCATAGCACATGTAATGACCAAATATGAATGTATCTCTTCGTGTGCTCATGCGTGTATGCATGTTTGACTTGGGGTATTATGGCTCTGATTTGTAGTCTGTCTTCATTTTCATACCAGTTTATTATGATTGCCTATTGTTTTTAATCAGCCATCTTGCCAGAACTTTATGGTGTGAAAGGATGTATAGAAATATTATAATTAATTGAAAGAAATAAGCGATCACTCCATGTTAAAACAGACAAGAAAGAAAGAATGCACCGTTGTGTTTTGAGAACATTGGTTCTCATACTTGTGCCTTCGAAAGCTGGAAGTTTGTGTGATTGACTCAGTGCATCTTAATCAAATTAGCTGTTCTGGATGAGTGATTTTCTTTTCTAAAAATGGGCTATGTTGAGCCTGGGTGAACTCTGCAATGAAAATTGTATATAAAATGCAATCATTAAAAACGACCATCTGACCATAAGAAATAATTAAAGCAAAGATCGCTTTAAGCTGCTAGAATATTTTCTTGTATATCACTTTGCCATCATCTTTGTGCTGCCTGAACAAACTTTTTTTTTTTTTTTTTTTTTTTTTAATAACATTACGTTCAACAGACTTACCACCTTTTTTAACTGGCCTGCTTTCTATTCCTTTTAACAGCAGCCTGACATAAGAATTGAAAAAGGTGAAACTTTCCCACAACTTATCTCTATGCAACAGGCAGGCAGTCTACCCCACACCACCCCCAAACCACAACACTTTTAAAGGCAAGTCAGCCTGAAATACGCAGAAAAGAAACCATGGCTGTTTGGGTTTTTTAAAAAAAAATTAAAGGAGACTTGCCCCCTCTTATATCAACATCCTCTGCCAAACGTCTAAAAAAAACCACACACACACACAATATTACCATAAGCATCTTGTCTGATTTTGGAAGCTAAGCAATATCAATCTTGGTTAATACTTGGATGGGAGACCATTAAGAAATATCTGGGGTCTCTTTGTAAAGCTTTTAAAAAAAAAACCTGCCTGAAATCATGGAGAGCCATTGTCAGTCAACATTGGCCATATTGAGCTAAATAGGCCAATGGTCTGTTTTGGGTAATAAGGCAGCTTCCGAAGCTGATATAAAACAAATGACAGAAGAACATATAGGCAGCATTGTATTCATTGACTGAAAGCTTGCAACCCAAACTGACCAATGTGAATCAATCTGCAGAGAGAATGCCAGTGAAAAGAGGATGAAAATTAAGAAATAAGAGAAGTGTATATATGTATGTTTATATGTGACTACTGGCTGTGCCTATTCCCCCCGCCTCCCATGTCACCAAGAAAGAGGGCAGGAGAATGCTCATATGCAAGACTGGAGCAAAGAACTCAGGGATCAGCAAATCCTAATCCAAGAAAGAATCCCTGTAAGACTGTGGAGGATACTCAAAAAGAAGACTTGTGCACAGCTGGGAAGGGATCCAGTTCATTCCCCAATGGCTTGGCAAAGGATGAAAGAAGGATGGGACCCTGCTGCATTGGAAAGCTTTTTACATCAGTTACAATGAGGAGAGCCTGTGTGCAACGAAGCCTTTGCACCCTGCAGCAAAGGGTGTCTTGACAATGATAACAAAATGAAAGAAAAGACCTTGGAACAATCCTACAGATTTGTCTCATCTTTAGGCTTTCACTGTCTCTGTGTTATTATGGGATCACTGGTGAAAACTGGAATTGAAAGGGTGCCATTACTTTTCAAATAGCTTCAAACAATAGCAGAAGCTGGTGCATCCCAAGGGCCCAATTCTCACCTGGTAGTGTTCCCATTTTCTCCGAAAAATACAGATAATTTCATGTAGATGGTGGTTATTTTTAATTTAATTTTAAATATTTTAACCCACCTTTCCCCTAAAAGAGGACCCAAGGTAGCTTCCATTATTGAAAACAAACAGTATTAAAAGCTAAAAACCATACATTATTAAAATATTAAAGAAAAATTAATAAAAGTACATAAAGATGTTAAGTAAAAGCACTGTGAAAACAGGCTGAGAAGCAATAAAATATAAACCATCCTGTTTATCCTTCAGCTTAAATCCGTCCTTTAAATAATCACATACCTGCATCCTTTTTTTTTCCTGCCTCAAACAGTGTTAGCTATGAATCTGGACTGATGAAAACCCTTATATCTGGCAGGCAGTTGGGACTGAAGGCCTCTATCAAATCTTTTGTTGAAACTTAGCTTTGCAATTATGTTTGATGTCAAAGAAGAACAAGGGCGACATGTTTCCTGTCCTCAACCTAGAATCCTGAAGGAAGTGCGAAAATGGTACCCAGCAGTAGGTATTGATAACAAGTATGAAAAGGGGGATTTTATGAAAGCTCTTCTGCATAGGTGTCCCCTTCTGACGAATTTGCTGGAGAATATTAGGATTAGCCAAATGTTAATGTCTGTCCTCTATTTGTGTGCTTGTTTGTTTCTACTATCCTTCTGACCCACTTGTTCTCCGGGGAACCCACAGTATACATCAGCGATACGGAGTTTGTAACCAAAGAGTTCTTGGATTGTCACTCAGTCACTCCTCACTCATGGATGGCTCATGGTCTGAGGAGACAGAGACATCTCACCCCAAAATTGCAGAATGATGTATGCACCCACCCACATTGACCACCTGTGCCTCCACATTGGTGATGTACTGGCTAAAACTGACAGAAACTGCAGGTGAAAAACATATGGGAGGCACCTGATGTACACAGTCCAGCCTACTCATTTGATCTCACAACACTGGGCTGAAAGATGGCGACTGGTTCAAAGAAACCCAGTCAACTTCATGACTTGGTAAGTATTTAACTGAGTATCTCCCTTATTTCAGTCTGGAACATCAACCGTAATTCGTACTACCAGCAACACGCACACGCACAGATACACACATTTCCTCTGAAGAAAAGTCTTCTGAAGCCTTTTGATGACCCTTTGTCAGTTACCTAAAATGTTTTCCCCTTTCCCTAGTTACTAGTATCAGGTTTTCCCAGCTTGCTTCCATAAGCCATGAACAACAGTAAATCACCAACAAACTTCAGATTAGACCTGACAGCCAAGCTTTTTCAGATGAGCTTGTTCCACTGTATGTAATTAACATGTCTTGTTTTCATCATTTATATTTTATTTATATGCTTTTATGTAGTGCAAGCATCTCCAAGAGGTTTTTATTTCTATGAATTATGCTTTGTAAAACCACAGCAGCCGCCTGGATGGAGCAATTATTACCAGCAAAGGGCCCTTCTTCACTTTCTCTACTGCAGCTGGTCACCTGTCATTCTTAAATAAGAGCCAGCTATTTTGTGACAGACAGAAGGACAACTCAGAGGGAAGAAGTAAGAGGAAGCAGTTGAGGTAGAAATTGAAAAGGAATATGCTGCCATAACTCACAGACAGACTATCAGAGATGGAATTTTGCAGGGTTTAAAATATATATAAAATCACACACCTAAAAAGCTGTTGCCCTGGGGGAGCTTTTACTGATTTCAAGCTTTTGTTGCTCAGATCAGTTCACTCCAGAGAGTGGTTGTACCAGCTTGATGGACATGCTGGGATAATGGAAAATGGTCCTTTAAAAAAAAACAACTTACTTGGACAACCTTTATTACTTTTGGCTTTAGAGCTGAGGAACGAAAAGGCATTTGCAACCCAAGAGATGAATCAAAAACCAAATTCTTTCCTCACCCTGACATGCTTACACTCCATCCTGCTTCCCTGGAGGCATTCTAGGCATCCTTACGTGGAAGTAAATTCTACTGGCTCATAAGAAATTACCTAATACCACCAGTTTGGACCTCTTGTCCATGTAGATCATCTAGGCAACTTTGGCCATCCAGATGTTTTTGGACTAAAATTCCTGTAGTCCCTTGCCATAGGCAACCCTAGTTATTGCTCTTGGGAATCATTGAGCAAAAATACAAGAAGGGCCACAGCTGCCCATGGTCTATATGAACAGGCAGCATTTTTTTCAGAATTCCATTTTAAAAATCCTCTCTATTCCTGCTAAGGCAAGTGCAGGTTTTGAAGCAATGAAGTTTACTTCCAAGTAAGCATGCCTAGAATTGTAGCCTCAGTGAAGCAGGACTGGGTGTAAAAGAGTAGCAATTAGGAGTCAATTTTTGTTGTTGTTTTAGTCATCTATCAGATTCCATATGCTTTTTAGCTCCCCAGCTTTAAAGCCAAAAGTAAGAAAGGCTGCCAAACCAACTCGATTTTTTAAAAGCCATTTTCCATTATCGCAGCTTGTCTATCAATTTCTGCATGCCAGGCATGTTCTCTTACATGCTACTGAAGTATCTAAGTCATTCATAGTGTCCTAATAAGGCAAAGTGCACTGGCTTTTGATAAGATTGTTCTCCTACATACAAGATGGAAGAATGAGTGGGAATTATTCAGAAGGGAGGTAGCTGGGCAGTCTTTGCAAAATAATAATAATAATCAGCCAAACAATTGTGTCTCACAGTACTTCTCTTCCTCTTCTTCCCTCCCCTCTTTTTCTCCATCTGCTCTGGGATTAGTTGGTGTCATCTGGTTTTTAGGGTTACTGCCATTTGTTTTAATATCTCCATTTTTATTTTTGTTTTCTATTTTGCAAGTTGTAACGCATCCAGAGTGGTACTGTGACACTAATGGGAGTGGGATACAAATTGAATAAATAATTAAAATAATAATTTAGGCCAGATCCTCCAAGAGATTTACACCAGTGTAAGAGTAATGGCCCAAACTGCAGTAGCAAATTGCTGCTAAATAGCAAGCTGCCCCTTGCATGCCAAATCACATGACTGGCACACAACCGGGGCTATGAGTGGCAAATTGTTCTGTAGCAGCAATTTGCTGCTGCAATCAGCTACAATTATGCCAGCGTAAATCTCCAATACAAAACCAGCCAATGAATTCAATTCACTTCATGTCTGTTATCAATAACCTTTTGCAAGTTTTTAATGCTTTAATCCCCTCCTTGGGGGGGGGGCTTTGACAGAGAGCTCATATAAGTTACTTTTCTGAACAATTGCTTCCAGAGTCTTCCAGCCAGCATGGACCATGGCCAATATGCTGCCTGGAGCTATGAGTCCTAAGAGTGTAATTTTCAAAAGTTACGTTTCTAATGTCTGCTTTGAAACTGTCTGGTGGAGGCATGGCTACTTGCCTGAAGCAATTTAGTGAGTACAGCTGGTGGGGCAAAATTAGGACAAAGAAAGATTTTTGCAAAATGATGCACACTGACAATGCGTTTTGAATGAAAATATTGCGATGCCCAGACAAATATTACCAGTTCAGTAGCTTTGCATTAAGCACTTCTAAACTAGAATTTCTTTAGTGCCAAACTTTTCCATGACGTTATTCAAAGACTGTGTGGATTAATTCCGTATTTAATGAATGAATTAATCATGCAGCCATCTGAAGACAAATTCGCAGAGTAGCTGAAGCAAATCCTACAGAGATTTGATCCATCAAGTTTCTGAGTAAAGAAAGAGAAATCTTACTTGGAGTAATATCTGGAACAAAGTGGTTTCATTTTCTGAGCAGATCAAATCAATACATTTGGCATGCACTCAGATGATGGTAAAGTAAAACTGGAATTGAATCCTGGTATTTCATGAAGCATCTTCTCCTGTGTGGTACAGACCTGGCTGATAACACAGATCATCCTGCAGCTTTTCGTCAAGTTCCAAGGTTCAAGGGCCATGCCTATTATAAAGGCAGAATGAGAAGGCTACATCAAGTGCAAGATGTAGGGGGCATGGAGCAATGGTGAAGTGTTTGAAGATAGATCTGTGCATGCCATGTGACCTACTGCACATTCCCTATAAGTCTCTATTAAATCTACTATCCTAGCAAAGGCTAATAGAGTTTTGTCAAGAGAACAAGCTGGTCATCATAAACACTCTTTTCCAACTACACAAGAGGCGGCTCTGCACATGGAAATCACCAGATGGGCAATATCGTAATCAGGTTGATTATATTCTCTGCAGTCAAAGATGGAGAAGCTCTATACAGTCAGCAAAAACAAGACCCGGAGCCGATTGTGGCTCTGATCATCAGCTTCTCATAGCAAAATTCAAGCTTAAACTGA